CTGTCCCATGGGACTCTCAAGAATGGACTCCGGTGTAGCACCGCGAAGGGTTACCTTCGGCCGATTTCGAAAAGAAAAAATCTTCACATCAGTACCGGGTCGTTCGTCGAAAAGATTTTAATATCAGAAGGCAAGTACAGTTAACACTTCATCGACTGCTAGCCTACTTTTCGGCTTTTCGATTGCCAACGCTTATCGACCGCTAGCCTATTAATCAACTTTTAGCTATCAATGGTTTTCGTACAGTGGATTGTTGTTGTTTTAGTTTTTATAATTATGCGACGTTAACGTTGTTGATTTAATGTTTTCGCAGTAGCTGTATATTAACCACTCCATATCTTTATCAATTATAATATTCTTTTACCGTTTCTAATGCATAAAGACTGTGCAGATGAATAGTTTTGCTTACACTAAACCTAACCGGAGACTAAACCGGTACTTACTGAATGGCAGCCTGAACCACGACCGGTCGATAAAGTGTTAACGATTCAAAAGTCTCGCAAAGGGTAGAAAATTTCCATCCATCGTTTATCTTTATTATAATTATATATAATATTAATAATAAAATCTTTATTATAATTATATATAATATTAATATAATATTAATAATAAAATTCCAGATGGAATTGCATACGGTGTACAATTTAAATCCGGGTCCGGACGTTACACAGCAACAGCGAGACGCGAGGTGATTCTATCAGCGGGCGCGATACAATCGCCACAAATATTGATGCTGTCTGGAATCGGTCCGAAGGATCATTTAAAGGAAATGAATATCAGCGTGGTCCTCGATGCTCCCGGCGTCGGGAGGAATCTCCAGGATCACGTAGCCGTCGGTGGACTCAGTTATTTAGTGACCAAACCGGCGAACTATACAGCTGCCGAGCCTTTCACGTTCAATCTGGTGAAATCGGTGAACGCTCACGCGCTCAGACAATTCGCTATGAATCACACCGGGGTGATGTACTCGTTCACCGTTGCCGAGGGAATGGCTTTTATCAATACTAAGTGAGTACGCACAGGCCACGTTACATTTTAGGCTTCCGTACGTCACGACGTTCTTTTTTTATTATATGAATTTTTTTTTTTTTAGATACGCGAATAAATCGGAGGACTATCCGGATGTACAATTTTTCCTATCGACTGTGGCTGATAGTACGGACGGCGGTCTGTTTGGTAAAAGGGACTGCAATATTAGGGACGAGTTTTACGCTGCAATGAACGAAAATATTCTGTTCGTCGACGCGTACTCGATAATCCCGTTGGTACTCAGACCGCGGAGCAGGGGATATATTAAATTGAACTCGACGAGGCCTGATCAACATCCGATCNATCGATAAATATCGAAGTATATTCTAAAAAGTGTAAAAAATTCCATGTTAGCATTGTTTAAGTGTACAGCCTATACATCCTTAAAGAATATCAACTGTGTTTAAGAATGGACTGCAGATTTTTTAAACATGTTTCAGTCTAATTGTAAATATAATTGTAATTAATGAAATAAAATTGATAAGTTTTGCTGTTTTATATAATTCAATTATACTGAATGTTCGTATGTAATTAATGATAAATAGAAATAATGTGTATATTAATAAATAAATTCAGAATCAACAAAATTCACTCATCCTATTTCTATTTATACTCACATTTGCTTGTTCCTCAATCATTATACATGTAATCATAATATAATTCGTCTGATGATTATTTTACATTATGATGCTTCTCTGATAAAGAATTAGCACTGACAATGTTCTGACAACTGTCAAAACCTCCTTACCCACGAAAATCTGTACTTCGTACCGTGATAAGGCTTTACTACTTAAAAGCATTATTGACGAAAATGAACATGCACTATTCTTTTAGGGAACGTCAGAATGGATGGACACTTTATAACGTGTATGGATTAACTGTTAATAACAGGTAAATGGACTTACATATTAAAAACGTTCTACTAAAACTCGTATTATTTTATCATTCTTTTGCTGGACAAGGAAAATTAAAAAGAAAAAGAAGATAAAGTTTATGAAAATATATCACGTAGAAGGAATAAATTTAAATATGACATACCAAAATAAAAAATATTGTTCTGTTTANATCCTGTACAGACCGGACATCGTCGACATAGATAACAGAGTGGTGCCGACGCCCGTGTCCCATCTCCAAAACGATTACGACTTCGTCATAATCGGGGGTGGCTCTGCTGGCTCGGTGCTGGCCAATCGTTTATCGGAAAACGAGAAATGGTCGATTTTATTGATAGAAGCTGGTGCGAACGAACCGTATCTGTCCGATGTACCGGCGATGTACCCGTCCCTTCAGCGCTCGCCCTACGACTGGCAGTTTGAGCTCAATGCGTCGAATAATTATTGCAGAGCTATGAACAACAACCAGTGCTTCTATCCTCGCGGCAAGGTGATATGATCTTTCATTTTATAGAAGTAATCTATAAACCGCTGATTTCTTATGTAAAATAGTATATATTAAATATTAGCTTCTTTTATCATTTTGATTTTGCATTCTGCACTCTTCTTCACGTTTTCTACATTTACATTGAAAACATAATTTATATTCTTTTCGTATAAGTGACAAAAATCTGCAGTCTAATAATTTAAATTTTGAAGCAAAATTTTGACAATTTTTTTATTTTTATGTTTTAATTTTTTGGATGTATTATAAAATTATTTTAATCGTCTAGGTGCTCGGTGGGTCCAGCGTTTTGAACGGGATGATGTACGTACGCGGTAACCGAAGAGACTACGACCAATGGGAAGCACTTGGGAACCCGGGATGGAATTACACAAACGTTTTGTATTATTTCAAAAAATCCGAAGATTTTCGAATCAGAGAATTCCAAAACTCTTCTTACCACAGTACCGGTGGACCTCTGTCGGTGGAAAATAACAGGTATCACGCACCCGTCATTGACTACTTGGTAAGAGCCGGTACCGAAATGGGTTACGAGTACGTCGACATAAACGGAGCCTCGCAAACCGGATTCACTATCACTGAGGTAAATCAGGGGATGAGAATCGGTCATCTACGTTCGATTTTAAACTTTTTAATTGCAATTAGTCGACGCTGAGGGATGGATTGCGGTGTAGCGCGGCGAAGGCTTTCCTCCGGCCCGCTTGGAGGCGAAAGAATTTACAAATCATCATCGAATCTACCGTAGAAAAGATTCTAATCGCGAAAGGTGAGTTCCTTCTTTGATATCACAAAAGTGGACGATAAATGAATCGTATTTTAGATGAGAACAATGAGAAAAGGGCGTACGGGGTGAAATTTCGAGACGGGTCGAGGGTTCACACGGTGAGAGCCAAACGTGAGGTGATCCTGTCGGCCGGCGCGGTGATATCGCCGCAGGTTTTAATGCTGTCCGGAATCGGGCCGAGGGAACACTTGGAGGAATTGGGAATCCCTGTGATTCACGATGCACCTGGCGTGGGCCAGAATCTACAGGACCACGTGGGCATTAGCGGATTAGACTATTTGGTGGACAGGCCAGAGAATTACACGTCCTCCGCGAGTTTCAGTTCTGGATTATTAAACGTTATAAATAATAACACTGTCAGAGAATTTCTTGTGAATTACACTGGCCCGATGTACTCGTATGGTTTGCTAGAAGGCACGGCGTTTATTTTTACTAGGTGAGCAGATTCAGCGTGTTTGTTAAAAACTATTAAGAGGGTAAATTTCGATAGCTATGTGATAACAGACTGTTAATGTTAGTCACAAAATTAGTAAAAAATATCAGTTTACAAGAATACTGTTCGCTCTTATAGGAGAATATTTTGTGGTCTTCAGGCACCTGTTCAGAAAGAGAAAAATCAAATCAATGACCAGCTTTCGTTATTATTTAGTCATATGAGCGTTACAACATGGACGAAAAATCGTAATTGCAATGCTTCTGTTTGTAAGCTATTTTTTATTCGAAACAAATATTATATGTTATAATTTATTTCGAGGGTGATTTCTTATTATATTTATTTTATGGAGTCCCCTCATATTATCACTTTATGGGACTTCAGGTTTAGATTGAGAAATTGATAATTGGGAATGACTTTAATTTTGTGTACTGTAAAACTGATATTACTTAGCAGAAAGTATTGAAAATACTACTATATATTATGATTTATTTCGAGGCTGATTTCTTATTATTTTGTCTGTTTTAAAGTGACAGTAGTACAAGCATGGTATTAGTCAGACAGATCTTTAAAATTAGTATCTATCAATCAAGATTGAAAAATTCTTTTAATATTGCTATATATTATGATTTACTTTGAGGCTAATCTTATTTAATTTGTCTGTTTTAAAGTTACAGTAGTATAAGATTTCACTGAAATACTTCATGTTCATACCTTCTATATGTATATTTTATACCTTCAATCAACGAAATTGGTACGGCCAGTAAAATCAGATCTGAAGTCGGATCTCACCTGAAACAAAAAATAATTCGATTTCATATAATTATGTTCGTATTTATTTATTTAACAAAAATGATGTACAATCGACATCGAATTGTATTATATATATTTTCCACGTACTAAATCTATTCAACAGACATTTTTTTTTTTTAAATAAAGTTTGTCATAATTAATTAACAGTGGATAATTGAATTGATAGATACGCGAACAGGTCCGAGGATTATCCTGATGTACAATTATTGCTGTCTTCTGTAAGCGACAATACGGACGTCGGCCTTTCAAGCGAAGGGCTCATGAATATTAGGTCCGATGTGATGAACGATATGAACAGAGGTATATTGCTCAACCAAACGTACACGATCGTCCCGCTGGTCTTGAGGCCGCGGAGTAGGGGATACGTGAAACTGCGATCGACCGATTTTTACGACCACCCGATCATCGTTACTAATTATTTCCAGGATTCCCGCGACCTCGACGTTCTGGTAAGAATCTTTAATAGTGTTAAGGGGCATGTTAATTTCTTTTCACTGTTAATAAAGTCTAATTACACGTTAAAGAGTCGCTGGTTTATCGATTTAAAATCAATTTTATTTCTGCATCTTTGCATTTAAGATTCCAAAATAATATTTGAAGACTGGCATTTTCAAACTATTTGAGATTCGACTTTGAAATTTTAATATGATAAGAAAAATGCAAAAATAAATTGTCGCACTTCCCCTTATAGCCCCTTAATAGCAACGACGAGTTAATTAAGGATTAATGATGAAAAAAATAAATGAATATCGTGTTAAAACTGTTGAATGTACGACAGGCCGATGGAGCGAGATTCAGCTACGAAATGTTGAACACGCCTACGCTGAGACAGTTGAACGCACGACCGAACCCTAACAGGCTACCCGAATGCGCTTCTTTCGGTTACCCGTCGTTGAATTACTGGCGTTGTTTCGCCCAATACTTCACGATGAGCATTTATCACCCGGTCGGAACGTGTAAAATGGGACCAGCTAGCGACCGAATGGCAGTGGTCGACCCGAGACTGAGATTGCACGGAGTGTCCAGGTTGCGAGTGATCGATGCGTCGATCATGCCGAGGATCGTCTCTGGAAACACGAACGCGCCTACTATAATGATCGCTGAAAAAGCTGCTGACATGATCAAGCAGGACTGGAGATATAGAGATTAATTTCTACTGGATCGTTTTAATAAAGATGCGATAAAAATTTGCTACCCCATACTTCCTTCAAGATCAGATGTCTTTTTAACACGTTGAATGTCACGCGGATTTTACAGTAATGGTCCGTGGCACCACGATGAATTTTCTATTAGGCGATACATATAATGTTGAAATATTATTTGTAATAAATAAGTGACAGTGCATAATAATGTTTGACATGTCAATTGCGACGGGGTCACTGATGACCCTCGTGGCGCTGAAGTGCGATTTTGCGA